TCCATCGCTCCACCATCATCGTCCATCGCTCCACCATCATCATCTTCCATCGCTCCACCATCATCGTCCATCGCTCCATCATCATCGTCCATCGCTCCATCATCATCATCCATCGCTCCACCATCATCGTCCATCGCTCCATCATCATCATCCATCGCTCCACCATCATCGTCCATCGCTCCATCATCATCATCCAGTCAGTGATCATTGGCCTGTTGATCTGTGTTCGTTGTATTTGCCTGTGAAGCCAAACTAAAACCTGCAGCTCTCAGAGTCGTTGGCGGCTTTATGGGCTTTAAATAAGCTGAAGTATAACCACATTTAGTCCATGTGGGGAGTTTGGAGGGGTGACGGCGATCCCCGCTCCGGGATCGAACCTGGAAATGCTCCCTGCTGCTGCCGGCAGCATCAGGACCGGCTCGTCATCGCTTCATGTCCATCCTTTTTTTCACAAACACTTTGAGTGTGTTTGCATGTTGCATGTGAAACATTCAGACTCTCGTCTGTTTCTTCGACACGCCGTCAGAGTGTCACGGCGATGAGCTGAAACCCTGCTGGTCAGTGAGACATCAGGACATCCTGCTGTGTGAGCTGTGAGGTAAGCGTGCGAGGACTGACGGGAGTGGAAGACTTTGACACGTCTTTAATTCTGCTCACTGTATTCAGGCGCATGCAGCGAACGCCGCGTGCAGAACAGCACGTTCCACCGAGAGAACGCCGCTCTGAACCGGGTCGGGCTCGCTTTGTTGTCTGTGTGTGGTTTAAAGCAACTGCAGCACCGCAACACACACTGACACACAATTATGGGCCCAAGGTAGCCATTTAGAATAATGGCCTCTGGCTACCGGTTGCCATGGCAAAGGGAAGGAGGAGGAAAGGTTTAGTGGAGCTGATGAACGATGGAGAAGCTGCATCGCTCTCCCGAGGTCCTCGTGGCGGGATTTCTCTGAGCTGATGAAGAGCAGAAAGGTCACAGCGGCGGCGTGCGTTCATATTTTCATCCATGCTTTAACCTGTTATGGTGGCAGGAAGTCTTCAGGCTGAGGGCCGCGTAATGCTCGCTCGCCTCTGACAATTCAATTCAGGACCTCGCTGATTGCTTTTAAGGCTCTTAATGACCAGCCTCTGTCTTATATCACACACCTCATCCGCCGGCGCTCGCTGGCGCTCTCTGTGATCTGACAGCAAATGTCTCTTCTGTGTCCCACGCTCACTAAAACTGAACGCTGACAGTCCTCCAAGCTGCTCCAACAGAGACCCACTTCCTGTTTCCAGAACACAGATTTGATCCACGCAGCACTCGTTCAAGCCTCGTCGCTCGTCTTGTTCTGTATTCCTCCGTCTCTGTTACAGTGACCTCACAGCAGCCATGTTATTGGTCAGATGATGTCATTAAAAATTCTCCAGCAGCACAAACACAGTACAAAGGTCCAGTCCAGGTGACGCTAGCAGCTACAGCCACCTGTGTCACATCCACCTGTCGGTCAAAGAGGCCACGCCCCTAATAATGCAGACTTTAAGGAGGAAATTATGTACAGAGAACAAACTAGTTTGTATGTATTTACCATGACTGAAGGTTTTACAGTCTGAAGGTTTGAAGTGGTGACTGATCACCTGACCAGCTGGTTTCAGTCACAGGAAGAAACCCATCGACAGTTAAAGTGACTTTTCAGAGCTGGAAGCTTTTATTCTGTCTGTGGGCGGGGCTTTTCCCAGCTTGGAGTTTTTTTTACAAACATCCCCGTGAAGACTCAGACTCGTGAATTCATCAGAAGATCTGCTGAATGGTTTCTCCTTCACGTTTGTACCAAACCGAGCGAGTCTCTGTTTCCCCGAAAGGACCGACAGGTAAGCGTCCCCACATCATGACTAAACAGGTTTATGTGTGAAGGCCAACTTTGTACAGATGAGGAGACGAACAGGAAACAACCTCTCTGACACACACAGACACACACACACA